TGCACCGCCCAAGGAGCACGGCCCAGGGTGCACAGCCCAGGCAGGGCCCAGAGCGGCCCAGGGTGCACGACCCAAGGAGCACGGCCCAGGGTGCACAGCCCAGGCAGGGCTCAGAGCCCAGCGTGCACCGCCCAAGGAGCACGGCCCAGGGTGCACAGCCCAGGCAGGGCCCAGAGCGGCCCAGGGTGCACGGCCCAGGACGCAGGGCGCAGCAGGGAGCACGGCCCAGGGCTCAGGGCTCAGAGCCCAGGGAGTACGGCCCAGGGTGCACAGCCCAGGCAGGGCTCAGAGCCCAGCGTGCACCGCCCAGGGTGCACGGCGCAGGCCGCAGGGCCCGGGGCCCAGGCAGTGCTTCGCAGCCCAGCGTGCACAGACAGGGAGACTTTCTGCTTTGCCAGCCTAGGATGGCAGGCCAGCTCCAACCAAGATGGAGTTACTGAGGGTCAGAGGGAGGTACGCTCCATTTCAGGCCCAATCCCGAGGCCTCAGGGGCGGGGCGGCTGGGCCTGGGAGGGCCCAGAGCCCGGAGCCCAGAGAGTGCCAGCCCACGGAGGCCCCCCTTCTTTCTCCTCTTCCCCTTCCCACGCGGCCCCGCCTTGGCAAGCTCAGCCCTGGACTCCTCCTCCAGGAAGCCTTCGGGCCTGAGATCGCCGACTCGCAGCCTGCTGGGAACCCGGGGCTGGGCGAGGGGTCCCCCGGCGGACAGAGCCTGGACCTGGGCCCTTGCTCCGGCCTCAGGCTCCGCCCCGCCTCTGCTGCCTTTTCCTGCTGCCTCCCTCCTCCCGTCGGACCTCCCGGTGAGTGTCGCTGGCTCCCCCGATGGGACCCCAGGCATCTACTCTTCAGCCTGGCTCCAATGCCCCCCCCCCCCCAGGCAGCCACCCCCCATTCCTGCCTTGCCCTCCTGGAAGGCACCCTGCCCCCCGCCCCCCCCCCCCATTCCTGTCTTCAGCCTGTTCCTCCACTTTGGTCCCGCCTCCAGCCTCCTCCCCTCCATCTCTCTCTCTGCCCCCACCCATCCCTCCAGGCGCTCCGCCTCCAGCCTCCTCCCCTCTGTCCCGCCCTCTGCCCGCCTCCCGCCCCTCCTCCCAGAGTGCTCACCTCCAGGCTCCCTGGCACCCCGCCTTCCCCCTTTTGGCCTGCCCCCTGCTCCGCCCCCCAGAGTCCCGCCTTCGATCTCCCTGGTACTGTCCTTCCCCCACCCCTAAGATTCCTTCTTTCAGCGGACCGCATCCCATATGCAGCCCCTCTTCTATGCAGACATCCAGTCTCCCTCCTGTCTTATCTTCCATCCCCCAGACACTTACCACCCCCGGACCCCCAAGATACTTGCCCTCATCCCAGCTACCCCCAAATCCAGGCGGTCTGCTTAAAGCTACACTCAGATGTCCCCCTTTCCGCCCTCCA